GGGCAAGAGGAGGACGGAAGGGGACAGGTGGGAGGGGGGGCGGAGCGAGACAAGCAGAGGGGGGTCCTTAGGCGGCCGCCATCGCGCCCGCGGCAGACACGTTGCACTTGAGGTCCCGATGCCCGGCGCTCGATTGCATGCCAACGCATCGGGTCCAGTTAACCCTGAGTTAATGACTGGCGTCCGTGGAGAACCGGCACGATCTGTGGGACCAGAAGGGGAGGCGCGCTGCCACCGCGGCGCCGTGCGGCTCTGCCGGGTTTCCTTCGTTCAGTACAGGGGTGCTCCCTCGCCAGTCCCCTTCGCCCCTTCCCTGGCTATGGGGGCGGCCCAAAAAAAAGCACCCCGGGAAGCAAAACAGACACACAGAGGCGCGCAGGAAAAGCAAACTGAAAGAGCACGCCAGGCCGCCACCATCCCACCCTACCTCCCCCGGGGGCGGGGGTCATACACATACGGGCGCGCGCGCGACACAGATCGAAGCCTTTGTTGGGTAAAGGGAGAATGTATTTGTCTGTCTGAGAGAGGAAAGGGGGCAGAGAGAGCGCTCGAGTGTGCGCGCAAACACACACACCAGGGAGGAACACGTGGTCCGCCCTGGAGGGCGGCGCTGCAGACACAGGGGCCCTCTCCCACCCCACCCCGACGACCGGGAGGAGGAACAGAAGAAGGACACGGGGGGGGGGTAGCTCGAGAGAGGCTGACACACGACAGACACTCTCGTGGATGCCCCCCCCCCCGACACCTCGACTCGCACACGCACAGCTGCGCGCATGCCCGCCCCCCATCCACAGAGGAGCCAGCCACACACACACCGAGAAGGAGGAGAGAGATGGGGTTCTCTCTCTCAGGCCCCTTCCAGTGCCACGGCAAGGCCTCGGTGGAGAGGGTGACGAGCAGGAAAGCCGCGCAAGGGCGCGCACATACCACCGCCACAGCAGAAAGACAAAGAGGGCAAGAGAAGACGCTTAGTACTTCTTGTCCTTGTTGTGCTTCTGGGCAAGGTAGTCGGAGAACTGCTGGTTCGGGGCCTTGATGAGGGGCTGGTCGACCCACAGGTCGGGGGTGAGGAAGGAGTAGGTCTTCTGGATGGCACCGAAGGTGGCCTTGACGAAGTTACCCAGAGTGCGGGTCTTACCAGTGGAGCAGGTGTAGCAATCCTCGATACCGGCAAGCTGGAGGACCTTCTTGGAGGTACCGGCGGCGACGAGACCAGCACCACGGGGGGCGGGGATCAGGCGGCACATGACGGAACCGGCCTTGGAGGAGACCTTGGCCGGGACGGTGTGGGGGGCACCGAGCTTGGTACCCCAGTAGCCCATGCGGACCGGGGAGATGGCGAGCTTGGCAGAGATCATGGCACCACGGATGGCGGTGGCAACCTCCTTGGCGCACTTCCAGCCGAGACCGACGTGGCCCTTGGAGTCACCGACGACGACGAAGGCCTTGAAGCGAGTGCGCTGACCGGCACGGGTCTGCTTCTGGACGGGCATGATCTTCATGACCTCATCCTTGAGGGGGGAAGCCTTGAAGAAGGCATCGACAATCTGGTACTCCTTGATGGGCAGGGAGAACAGGAAGATCTGGTCCAGGGAGGTGATCTTGCCATCGTGCACGAGGCGGCCGAGCTTGGTAACGGGGACCCAAGCGGCCTCCTCGGGGTTGGCCTTGCGGGGGGCACCACGGCCACGGCCGCGGCCACGGCCGAAAGAGCCGCGAGCGGGGGCACCAGAAGCGGGGGCGGGAGCACCAGACATGTTGTATATACCCTGGGGAGTGAGGTGGGGCGCGGGGGGGGGGCAAGGGGAGCGTGTCCGGGTGTGAGGAGAGGGGAGACAAGAGGCGAGGAGGGGGGGCGAGGCGGCGAGGAAAGGGGGAGGGGAAGGAGGGATGTGCTCTGAGAAAAACCTGGGGCCAACCAGAAAGATATGTTGTCTTCAGCGTTTCAGACGGTAATTCCAAGGGGATCATCATCGAGCGGGCGGGAAAAAAAGGAGAGGGAGGCAAAAGAGGGGGGGGACATGGGCGGATGCGTGCTGCATCCGACATGGGGGGAGAGGGGGCGCGCGCGCGGCGGAGGGAGACGAACCTTTTTGGCGATTAGAAACAAGCACAACAAGGTAGGGACTGAGCCCTGGGGAGGATGAGACGCAGAATACGCGCTCATATAAGCCGGTGTCTGCCTCTGTCCGGCTCTCTCTCTCTCTCTTTCCGCCTCCCCCCGCCGGGGCCGGCCCTACACCCTCTCGGCGAGACAGGGAGGGGAGACCACTCCCCGGGCCGGGCACACAGACCTGGCCCCGGGGCGGGACGAGCCCCCCCCACGGTGGCCATCCACCCCCCGGCCCGTCTGTGGCCGCCCACGCACGGGCATCCAGCAACCGTCCACCGACGGACTCTCTCCGGAGGGTGCGCAGGCGCCACACACGGCAAGAGGCCTCTCCCATCCACGCCCAGCAGCAAAGGGAGGGGGACACAACGCGCGGGACCGATAAACCGAACACCCGGACACTGGCGGTAGCAGCCAACTGACCGGGGGGGAGGGATCCCACAAGCAGGCAGGTTCCCCCTCCACCCTAAATCCCGGCTTAGAGAACGTGGCCCATTTCGGGGGGGGGGGGGGGGGTTGGACAACGCTACGCATGCACCTCCCTGCGCTGCGAAGCGCATGAAGGACGCGAGAGCATCCACTGCATCTACCAGCCCTCTCGTCCCAGGAAGCCGGCATCGGCAGCCGTGGAGAGTTCGCGAGACGGACAAAGGAGAAGAGTCAGTCTCGACACCAACCCCCCGAGAAGGTATCACAAAGGGTTTAGTGAACCCCGTCGCAGGCAGGGAGCATGTCTGCGTACGCATGCAACTTCCCTTTCCTAGACAGTCAAAATTAGGGAAGATATTGGGCCTTTTTAATGGGCGCTATTTTTGAGTCAATAGAGAGGCAGCGAGGGAGGGCGCCTTGTTTGCAAAAGGAACAGTGTTCTCTCTGAGTTAACCACTTTCAGACGACATCAGGAGATTTTGCGAGGCCAGCTTCCTCATCAGGCATATCACATGCACAAAAACTCACGGGCTCCTTCCCGATACTGGTCACCTGAGGCACGTCCGCCGTGTTCTGGCGAGGCCGAGGGCACCTGTGTGCACGATCGACTCCCGCTGGGTGCCCCTATGCTGTGCAAGTCCCTCTCTGCCTGGCCCATCGTGCCCACCTTGCCCACCTTGCCGGATGGGCCACCCCCGGCCCGATCCACGGAAGCCAGGGCCGGAGCACACGGTCAAATGCCAAGCACCCGTCCATACTACATGGTCTGCGTCATCTTCCCCCCCCCCTGCCTTTCTCTCGTCGTCTTTTCTCAGAGTTCTATTATGTTACAGCCACACTACGGGGTGTGCCCTGGCGGCGCGGCAGCAGCGGCAGCCAGCCTCTCATTGTGTGAGGGGGGAGAGGAGAGGGCCGGGAGCCGGGGAGGCGGGAGGCGGGAGGGGCTTTGTGTGGCGCCTGTGGGCGCGGTGAATGTCACCGTGGGCGTTGCAGGCTGCGCGTGCGAGTGTCTGTGAGGTAGATGTCATGGAGGGGGCACCGGGTGCCGGGGTGTTTGGTGTTGTTGGCGTTCGACTTCGCCTCTCGCTGCCTTCGCGCCCGAGAGCCGCTCTCCCTGAGCCAGGGGCGCCAGGGGTCCTTGGATAAGGCGGCACAGGGGAGGGAAGGCGGCGAGAGGGGAACATGCTCGCGCAGTTGCAGAGGGGGGGCGCGCGCGTCAAAGGCACCTCTTTAGTTGGTCTCAGCACGCTGGGTGGGCAGGAGGCCGAAGCGGCGCTTGAGGGTCACACGCTGGCGGGAGTACTTGTCGTCCGGGGAGAAGCGGGCTGGCGGGTCATGTGTGGCAGGTCATAGCGTCAGACGGGGG